AGGGATTGTGGTCTAATGGCCATAGTGTGGTAAGGGATTGTGGTCTTATGGCCATAGGGTGGTAAGAGATTGTGGTCTACTGGCCCTAGGGTGGTAAGGGATTGTGGTCTAATGGCCATAGGGTGGTAAGGGATTGTGGTCTAATGGCCCTAGGGTGGTAAGGTATTGTGGTCTAATGGCCATAGGGTGGTAAGGGATTGTGGTCTACTGGCCTTAGGGTGGTAAGGAATTGTGGTCTATTGGCCATAGGGTGGTAAGGGATTGTGGTCTACTGGCCATAGGGTGGTAAGGGATTGTGGTCTACTGGCCATAGGGTGGTAAGGGATTGTGGTCTAATGGCCATAGGGTGATAAAGGCTTGTGGTCTACTGGCCTTAGGGTGGTTGGGGATTGTGGTCTAATGGAGATAGGGTGGTAAGGGATTGTGGTACTATGGCCATTGGGTGGTAAGGGATTGTGGTATTATGGTCATAGGGTGGTAAGGGATTGTGGTATTATGGCCATTGGGTGGTAAGGGATTGTGGTCTAATGGAGATAGGGTAGTAAGGGATTGTGGTCTAATGGCGATAGGGTGGTAAGGGATTGTGGTCTAATGGCCAAAGGGTGGTAAGGGATTGTGGTACTATGGCCATTGGGTGGTAAGGGATTGTGGTATTATGGTCATAGGGTGGTAAGGGATTGTGGTATTATGGCCATTGAGTGGTAAGGGATTGTGGTCTACTGGCCATAGGGTGGTAAGGGATTGTAGTACACCGGCCCTAGGGTGGTAAGGAGATTGTGGTCTACTGGTCATGGGTGGTAAGGGATTGTAGTCTACTGGCCCTAGGGTGGTAAGGGATTGTGGTCTACTGGCCATAGGGTGGTAAGGGATTGTAGTCTACTGGCCCTAAGGTGGTAAGGGATTGTGAACTACTGGCCATAGGGTGGTAAGGGATTGTGGTCTTATGGTCATAGGGTCGTAAGGGATTGTGGTCTACTGGCCATAGGGTGGTAAGGGATTGTGGTCTAATGGCCCTAGGGTGGTAAGGGATTGTGGTCTTATGGCCATAGGGTGGTAAGGGATTGTGGTCTTATGGTCATAGGGTGGTAAGGGATTGTGGTCTTATGGTCATAGGGTGGTAAGGGATTGTGGTCTACTGGCCATAGGGTGGTAAGGGATTGTGGTCTACCGGCCCAAGGTTGGTAAGGGATTGTGGTCTACTGGCCATAGGGTGGTAAGGGATTGTAGTCTACTGGCCATAGGGTGGTAAGGGATTGTGAACTACTGGCCATAGGGTGGTAAGGGATTGTGGTCTTATGGTCATAGGGTAGTAAGGGATTGTGGTCTACTGGCTATATGGTGGTAAGGGATTGTGGTCTAATGGCTCTAGGGTGGTAAGGGATTGTGTTCTTATGCCCATAGGGTAGTAAGGGATTGTGGTCTAATGGCTATAGGGTGGTAAGGGATTGTGGTATTATGGTCATAGGGTGGAAAGGGATTGTGGTATTATGGCCATTGGGTGGTAAGGGATTGTGGTCTTCTGGCCCTAGGGTGGTAAGGGATTGTGATCTACTGTCCATAGGGTGTTAAGGGATTGTGGTATTATGGCCATTGGGTGGTAAGGGATTGTGGTATTATGGCCATAGGGTGGTAGGGGATTGTGATCTACTGTCCATAGGGTAGAAAGGGATTGTGGTATTATGGCCATAGGGTGGTAAGGGATGGTGTTCTAATGGCCCTAAGGTGGTAAGGTATTGTGGTCTAATGGCCATAGGGAGGTAAGGGATTGTGATCTACTGTCCATAGGGTGGTAAGGGATTGTTGTCTAATGGCGATAGGGTGGTAAGGGATTGTGGTCTAATGGCCAAAGGGTGGTAAGGGATTGTGGTACTATGGCCATTGGGTGGTAAGGGATTGTGGTATTATGGTCATAGGGTGGAAAGGGATTGTGGTATTATGGCCATAAGGTGGTAAGGGTTTTTGTTCTAATGGACATAGGTCTTATGACTTTAGGGTAGTAAAAATAGTGGCTTTAGTTTGGTAGGGGTTTGTGATCATTCCAATGTTACTAGAATACATCAATACATGTCATTTCTGATTTTAGGGAAAGACAATCCCGCCGAGAAGAAGAGTCAAGACAAGAAGAAGAACAT